TGATTAAGAAAGCACTTCTACCTGCTTTGACCAGGAGCGTTCTGGGGACCAGGGAGTCTTCCCTCTACCATGAATCCTCCTTCTCCTCCATATGCTCAGTGACCCTGGACTGCCTGGCAGACCTCTGGGGAGGGTCTTCTGGACAGTGGCTGGAGCAGCAGGGGCTCCACTGGGGTCTTCAGAATCCCAGCGTCCAGGGAACGGAAAGAGCAAAGGTCACCTTGGGTAGTACGCCATGATGCTGGCAAGGCCAGTCTCTGAACCCAAGAAGACTTAGGTCCTGAAGGACAGTCACAGGGGTCAGTGACAGCAGTGCTGTGTAGCTGCAAGAGAAAGGGGACGGCGAGCTCTGGTGGCCTAGTGGCAGGAAACTGCACTGCAATCACAGAGGTGCGCGGTTCAAGTCCACCAGATGCTCTGCTGAAGAAGGAGGAACAATCGCCTCCTGAACCAATCAGATCCAATTTGACGGTACACACACACACAAAAAAAAAAAAAAGAGAGAGAGAAAGGGGACATTCAGAAAGTGGGTCACAGCCAGGAACACGAGGGGACAAGTGTCCAGCAGAATAGTCCAGGTGTGTCAGGGCCCCAGGCTCTGACATGACTGAGCTGACTGAGTTCTGGAGGAGAGCTATGAAGGACAGGACTAAGTCCCTTGAGGCCATCCCTGAGGTCTTGGACCAGGATGCCATGAAGCCCCCTGGGGCACCCTGGTGCTAAGGTATCCCTCCACCTGCCCCATCCTCATTAGACAGCACACAAGGTCCCGTCTCTGAACACCAGGGAGTTTCCACATGGCACTGACCCCCCACCACGAGTGCGCTGTGCTCAGGAGAATACGGTCAGGCGTGTCCGGGAAGTCATGAGGGATGGGCACTCGTTTTGGATTTCTGTGAGCCCTGCATGTGGGAACAGCGAGAGCTGGGAAGAGTAATTTGAGGGGTGTTTTATTTGGAAGACATTCTGTGTATCTAGGGATGATGTGAGCCACAAATGCAATTTGAGGGGTGTGTATGCAATGATGTGAGGGGTGTGCCGTACGCTCTCTGCACGGTCTTATGGCGAGAAGAGGGGGTTGAAGGGAGCCTTGGTATTTGCATGTGTGTTTTTTAAAACTGTATAAGGCAATGTGTTCTGTGGTGTCTGAGCCGTATGTTTGTGCTGTGATGTAGAACGCTGGTGCTTGTTGTAGACACACAGTCCACGTGTGTCAGTGATGGAAGGGACACACACATGATTGTAGCAGATACGTGGTGTGCGGGGAGCCAGCCGTATGGGGTGAGGGGTGCATGAGTTTATGATGGATGTCTGTGTGTCCTTGGTGCAATTTGAGGGGGGCGTTTGTGTGTGGTGAAGTGTTGGGAGTAAAGTGTGTGTGTTTATGGAATGAGGCGTACGTGAGTTATATGTGATTGTGTTGTAATAGAATGTATGTGGCATGATGTGATGTATGTGTCACATGGTACCATGTGTTGTGTGGCATGAGCTGTGCATCACACGTGTTTGTGCTGTGACAAGGGCTGTGCGATGCGGTGTAAATCTTATGTATATGCACGCAAGATTTGTATGTCTGTGGTAGGTTTATAGGATGATTTGAGAGATGCATAGGTGTGTGTGTGGTGTGTGAGGAAGGCGTGTTTGTTATGATGCCAGGTGTAAGGTTACATCTGTGTGTATGCGGCATGACTTAGGAGCATGTGTGTTTTAGGATGTGAAGTCTGTGTTTGTGAGGTGTGTCTGTGGTGGGAGCCGTGTGTGTACGGTGAGAGTGTACGGTGAGAGCTGAGAAGTGTGTGTGTGTGTGTGTGTGTGTGTGTGTGTGTGTGAGTGCGAGGGAGCTGCGTATGATCAGTATGAGGTAGTGGTGGTGGTGGCGGTGGTGGTGGTGTTAAGGTGCCATAAAGTCAACTGTGACTCACAGCGACCCTGTGAACAGCAGGGGGAAATCTTGCTTTAGCCTGAACCATCTGTGTTTGTATGTGTGACTTAAGGGTATAGGTATATGTGAAGTGTGTGTGTGTGGTGTGTTTGCAGTGCGGTCTGACAAGTGTGCATGTGGTGTGATATGGAGTGGGTGTGTTTGCTATGATGTCAGGTATAGGGACGTGATGTGTGTACGTTCACTGGGACACACGGCAGTGTGTATGTGTGAGCCATGTGTGAGAGATGTTCATGTACCGGGGGGAGAAATGAAGGCTTCCGTGCCTCAAACTGAAATAAAGGTTAAGAGGCCTGGATTTCCCCAAAGCTGTGGCCTAGGATGGCCTCCTCCTAGTGACCACATCTAAAAAAACCCCTGGGTCTTAGTAGGCCAAGCTTCCTGGGGTCAAGCCCTCCCTCTGGGGTAGAAACTGGCCCTTGCCAACCCAACCCTGAGCAAGGGCCCGGGCTGCCCTTGAACACACAGAAGGACGCACTGCCCCAGCTGACCTCAGCACGGTGCTTCGCTGCCATCTCTATGGACGTCCCTCAGTCTGGCATGTCCAAGCTAGAGCGTCGTGATGCACCACCAGGCTCGAGCTCTCGATTGTTTTGAGACCATCACGCTGCTGTGTGAGCTTCCCCTGCTGACCTAGCATGAGCAAAGAGGGTCTTGTCACAAAGACAGAAACACAAAGGCAGCTGTCAGGCCCTAACTAGCCTGGCTTACAGAGAGAAGCCTCATCTCTGCAGAGGGTATGCATGAGCCCCCCAGCTCCCAGGATCTGGGTTCTCAGTGGACCAGGGTGTTACTTGCAGCCAGAGCCCTCTGCCTCTGCCCCCCAAACATTAGCCCATGTGGCACCCAGCTGAGGGGCCTGTGCAGCTGCTCCTTCATGGGAATGCTGTGCTGAGGCGATCACACCACACACTGATGAGGAAATTGAAGTTACCCCACTCCTAAAAGCCCCTCACCCTGTGCCTGCTCCAGGGCCTTTCTCCAGCTGTCAGGAAACAGCTGAGGTAAAAAAAAAACAAACACAACTCACAGGGCCGGAGGGTGCTTCACAGTCAGTCAGCCGCTGCCCAGCCCTCCAAGGCCGTCAAACCTAAAAGCCAAGCCCACGGCTGGTAGCTGGCTGATTCTGACCCACAGAAGTCCTAGAGTAGAGCTGCCCCCTAGCGTTTCCAAGGCCACAGTGTTCACAGAAGCAGACTGCCACAGCTGGCGCCCACACCCTTTGCCACTAATGGGTTTGGAACCACCTATGGGTCTACACTCTTTTGGATCACTTGCTACGCATCTGAAAGCTGGACAATGAGTAAGGATGACAGAAGAAAGCCTTTGAGCTGTGGTGTTGGAGAAGAGCACCGAACACCCGCTGGGCTGCCCAGAAGACAGAGGCGTCTTGGAGAAAGTGCAGCCAGAGTTCTTCCTGGAGGCAAGGGTGACAAAGCTTTGTTTCACATACTTTGGGCTTGTTGCTAAAAGAGGCTGTGGTGTGGAGAGGGATTCATGCTTGGAAGGGTGGAGGGTCAGAAAAGGAGAGGGGGATCCTCAACAGGGACTGAAGCGACGCCCCCAAGTGTGTGAGAGACGGTGAGGATGGCACAGGACAGGACAGGTCTGTTGTTCATAGATTCACTGGGAGTCACACTGATGGCACCTAACAACATGGCTCCATGAGCAGCTCAGTGCTTTCCTTACAAAACCTACCCCAAACCAAAACACCACAGCCATCCAAGAGATCCTGACTCAACTGCCGACCACCCCTCGTGGTTTCGAAGGCTGTCAATCTTTCAGGGAGGAGACTATGCGTGTCTCCAACTCAGCAGCTGGTGGATTCAAACCATCAATCTTCCTGTTACCAACCCAAGACAGTTGTTCTTAATTCATATCTACCCTTCACCTGTCAACACCAAAATAAAGATGCACAGGATTCTGCCCACACCCATGTTTTGTTGCTCTGCGCCCACCCTGTTCCTTCTAAACATGAATTCGCTTGCATAGAATGTTAGGCCTGAAGGGTGGTAATTGAATGGTGGACCCAGGCCACCAAGGAGTCCCTAAGCTCTGCTGTGGAAACACTCTCCACCCACTCTCCCCTGCCCTGAAATTGTGCGGTTCCTGGGGTATCCTGGCACAGCTACTCAGAAATATCCAGAACTTCCAGGATCATTTGCTATCAAATATGTAAGGGCTTTTTTCTACCCTGAAGGCATCTGTAAGGCTCATGTGGTATGTTTATATGGTATGATCAGCATGGAAGGGCTAAGGGGTTTTGTCTACCCCAAAGGCGCTGGGTGTAGAGGCCACGCTTGAGTGGCTTGGGCGGCTGTGGGGAGAGGGGCGATCAGGAGCAGAGTGCAGCAAAGCCCCCCTGGGAAAGGGCTCCCGTGATGGGAGTTTCTGGGTGTAGCCTCGCAGGTCAGGGAAAATTAGCGATGATAATACAAAATAAAGGGTCAAAGTCTGAGTACCAACGAGGTTGGGAAACACCCGCGGTGCAAAGCGCTGCAGGTGAACATCTGTCGGTAAACAAGTGTATTCAGATGAGCCAGGGCTGGGGCGCGCCCGAGAAAGCACCTTGGCGCTGGGCACAGAAAGCGCCTGAGCTGAGCCCCGGGCGCGCAGGGGCCGCCTGCTGGCCGCGTCTCCAGCGCCGCCTGCTGACCGCCTGCTGACCGCGCCTCCCAGCAGCCCCGGAGCCACGCTGGTCTTCAGGGCAGGACCATGCCCGACCTTTGCAGTTGGCGGGGTCTCCAGGGACAGCCCCCAAAGAGAGCCCGGCGCCTGTGGCTGGAGATTTGCGGAGAGTGGTCCTGGGCTTCGATGTGGTCCCTCCCTTCTGAGTTCTCCGCCTGGCCAAGTGTCGCTCCGGGACTGCCCCCCGTCCCCCGGGTGCTCACCCTGCGGTCCTGCGCGCCCTGGCAGGAGGGAGCGTGGTGGGGGGTGGCGGTGGGGAGGAGGCCGGGCCGGGGGAGGGGAGGAAGGGGTGGGCGGAGCGCAGGCGGGGCAGTAGCTGCGCTCTGGCGGCCCCGCCGCTGGCCGGCCCTCGCTCACCTCTGGTCCAGGGACATGCCGGGCACGCCTGGCGCCGCGGCCACCCAGGATGGCGCGGGCCCCGAGCTCTCCCCGCCCTGCAGTCCGAGCTACGATCTCACAGGCAAGGTGGGTGGGCGCTGCGCCCCGCGCCGGGACTCCTGCTCCCGGGACCGCGGCCCTCTCCACCCTGCCCCTCTCTGGCTGCATCTGCTGGGGGGATTCAAGTCCCTCCCTGGGCGGCCGGGTCTCCTGGAGGGCTTGAAGGGGGCAGGTCAGGAGGCAGACCCCAATTTCTAGGGATGGAGCAAACGCGGGGTTGGGGGGACGGGGCGAGGAAGGTCAGAAGTACTGCGCTCCTACTGTCTTGCATGGTGGTTAAGCGCGGCGCTAGTAACTAAAAGGTCAGGAGTTCTAACCCTGCAGCCACTGGGTGGGAGAAAGCTGCGATCGACTCCTTCCTGGAAGAGAATCCTCTGGGCACTTCCAACCCGATCTATCACTGGGGTGGACTCGATCCGTTGAAGTTTAGTATTTTTTGATTCTCTGGACGTGCGAATAGTTAAAAATTCAACAGCTAACCTCAAGGTTGTCAATGCAAACCCACCCAGAGGCTTCCTTAAAACATCACACAGCCTTGGCTCCACTCCGCCCTACAGGGTCGCTATGAGAGGGGATCACTTGACAGCCTGCCTCTAACAGCACTCCAGCCCCCCCCCCGCCTTTAAAAAACAAACAAAACCACCCCAAAATAAGTTGCTGTCTTTCCCGACGCCTTAGGACTAGGTAGAATGACCCCACCGGTTTCAAGACTTACTGCACACAGTTGCAGACTGCCACCGCTTTCTCCAACGGAGTTGCAGGTGGGCAGCGCTGTCGGTGGGCTCGAACCAACGACCTTCCTGTAAGCAGCCCACCGGGGATTCTAACTAGGGCTTGGACGCACAGCCCTCCTTAGGGCAGAGACACACACACCCCCCCCAGTACTGGAAAGGGGCTGCCTGCCACTCCCTAGTGGTGGAAAACTCACTCGAAATAAGCAGCTTTGGGGGAGCTAAGTTCTCGGTGGGAACCTGACATCCTTTTCAGGGTCACTTCCAAGTCTTTCCCCAGCCCAGTCCACCCCCTCCAGCTCCTTCTGAGCAAGGTGTGGCCAGCCAGGAAGCCGACTCACCTGGAGCGTTTAGATCAAGCGCTTCCCTCAGCCCTGCGGGACCGGGAGTTCCCTTTGCTGGGTCATCCCTTTGTGCTGATGCAGGTGGGGGTGGCAATGGACAGTTCTGTGTCCCCTCAGCACCGCAGAGAGGGTGCATGTCAGGAACTGTGAAAGAGTGGCCCAGAGCCACCCTGCCTTGTTCGTGTCCTCTGCGCAGTGGACATAGGTGAGAGGGTTGTCCAGCCTCATGCTGCATGACCTTGAAGGAGACCTGCCTCGGTCTGTGCCCTGGTTTCGGTGCTGGAGGGCTTTGCTCTCACTAGGAGCCCCGCCCCCACCCCAGCATTTGGAGGAGGCTGCTCAAGTCAGCAGCTCCGCCGCCGTTGAGATAGGCGTCCTGTGTGGGCTCCGGCAGGAAATGGGCCCCGCACCCCAAGGGGAGGGGAGCTGTCGCTGCCCGGCCCCAGCTGGTAGGACCCACCACTGGCCTCCTTTGGCCCACAAGCCAGCAGAGCTGTTTGCCTAGGAGGCGGCCAGCTGAGCAGCTGTTTGTGTTTGGTGGCATTGCCTGGCTGGGTGGGTGTCAGCATGGTTTACTCAAGGCAGCTGTGATCAGTAAGGTACACAGACACTCGCCCTCCCATCCCCCTCCTTCCCTCCCTCCTTCCCCTTCAAGGGGCTGGGACAGGGCTGGGTGGAGGGCTGGCTCACCCCCCTTCCCCTCTGGTTAGCAGTATCCATCCTACATTCCTGGTTCCTATGCTTGTCCTGGGAATTGTACCTAGGACTGTCTGGGAGGCTCCGGGAGGAAGTTTCTGAGGCTGGATTGGAAGGGAGAGGGATGCCGGCAGGCAGCCCCCACCCTTCTCATCACAGGTGGTTGGGGCATCAGCTGCTGTCAACATTATTGGCAAGAACGGAGAATGACCCTCCTCGCCTGGACCCACGTGGTTAAACCACGCCCCAGGGGGATAATTTTCCCAAGGCCAGAGTACAGCCCCTTACACCTTTTTCCCCCCCTTCTTGTGTCCAGTTGGATCCAACTGGCACAGAAGGAGGATTCGAACCATGGACCTTGGGGATTGCAGCACAGCTTCTTGCCACTAGACCACTAGAGGCCATCAGAGCTCCCACACCCCTTGCACCTTCTGATCAGCCCCAGCCTCTTGTCAAAGCTAGCTAATCCCATTGCCATGTGCTTCTCTGCTTCCACTATCAGGATCAAAACAAATACAACCACTTGCCAATGAATCAGCTCGGAGCCTCAGAGTAGAACGTGGTGTAATTCCGAGGCTGCATGTCTTAACTGGAGGCAGCTGTCCATCTCTCTCGTTCAAAGCAGCTGGTGCTGCTACTAAGCTTTGTTGTTACAGCCCCGCACTTAACCCACCTGGGCTCCTCTGTCCAGGTCAGAGCCTCAAAAATCATTTCCGTCTAGGTCTGGAGTCCAATTCTGCAAAACTGAAGATGACTGGGCTCCCTTCTACTCCCCTAAGATTCCCCAGAGGAGCAGAGACTGGATAGACAATACAGGCCAGGGGGTCCCCCCCCCACCCTGGAACACCCTGGAATACAGTGCCCTGTCTTGACTTGGGACATTTCTGCTGAAAGAACCTCAAACTAATTGTCTCTCCGCACGTCTGTCTGAACTGCAACTTTTCCTGATTCATGCAAGCCTTTATAACCAGAAAATGTCATTAGAAGTCATCCAAACAGATGCTGTGACCCAGAAACCCCCAATAGTTGTCCTTTCAGAATGAGCTGCTGTACAGTGCCACCCCCCTCAGATCGAGACACACTCCCTTAGGTGGGAGTCCCTGTCCCAGAAGTGAAACTTCCCTTTCCTGGTGACATGGCCCCGCCCACACCTGGCCACGTGAGGCCATCCTCAGTGTGCGCACACACTCACAGAATGCAGGAGGACACATGCCCACGTGACGTGGGTGGAAGTGGCCAGAAACTAGACCACACCAAGGCGGCAGCTCTCTGCAGAACCACGTAGTGAACTTGACTTGGGCTTCCCAGGGTGTAGATAAGAGCAGGAGGGTCAAAGAGAGACCTTTAAAATGACCAGAGCTGAAGAGAGCGGATGGAGGGTCCTCTCGTACATACACCAGCATGCTGCCCACCGCTCTTCCTCTCTGACCTTCTCTCCAGGACCTACTCTCCCTGGAAGCTCAGAAGCTTCTCCACCCTGACTCCCCATTAACTGGCTCTGCACCCCCATCTCCTAGGTGATGCTTCTGGGAGACTCAGGCGTCGGCAAAACCTGTTTCCTGATCCAATTCAAAGACGGGGCCTTCCTGTCCGGGACCTTCATAGCCACCGTCGGCATAGACTTCAGGGTGAGGTGGCTGCAGGTTCCTCCTTCCACCCAGCAGGCTAGGAGCTCAGGACACAGAGGGGCTGCCCTTCCGGCTCCTGAGAGCCCCTGCCGCTCACTTCCTGAGGCTCATGCCCAGCGCCCCTTAGGAATCATGGAAGTAGCCAGGTTAGAGGAGCCTGCCATGGGGGGCTCCTTCACCCACCTACAGGATATGAAAACCGGAACCTTCCTCTCCTCCACTGGGGGGAAGGACTCCCTAGAGCCAGGCTCTTCCTTTCTCCCAAGACAGCTGAGTTTCCTGGTCCACAAAGCTCCTTGCCTAGAGCCCTCTGAGCTGGGCCCCTTTGACAAGACTCCCAAAGGCCAACAATGCTGTAAGAGGCTTAAAAGCCGGACTGGCCATGCGGAAGAGGAGCAGTCACTCTGATGACTCTGTCTTTATCAGGAGTGTGGATCTGAGTCAGGAATGTGTATCCTGTGTTCACAGAGGTCAGGAGAGGAAAGGTCCACCTGGCACTCCAGGGTCTGCTTCCCTCCCTGTGGGAGCTGGAGCTTCATGGAGGAGAACAAGGCAGCCAGTTGGAGGAAGGATGCCCTGCAGAGAGATGCCAGCCTCTGAGGTCCCCAGGCTACTGGCAGGCATCTCCTGTGTAGGTGGTGCTGAGCTCTGGGAAAGGCAGACTGAAGTAGGGGACAGGGACCCCAGGGTCCACCTTGTGTTGCCTGCTGAGCTTTGCGGAGAGTTAGGCAAGTTCTCAAGGTCTCCTTGCTCTGTTGTGTGAGAACAGAGGGAGTCCCCAGAAGAGAGTGCTCCACAGCAGAGGTGTGTAGGGAGAGGGTCCCTGGTGCCCTGGTGGGGTCATCTGGCTGGTGACGTCCCTGGGGCAGGTAGCATCATCTCAAACCCTAGAGAGGAACCAGGACAGGCACCGCCTTGATAAGGATGCCCACAGAGCTCAGGTGCCAACTCACTCCACCTCTTCACCCATCTTTCCACTCGTGTCTCCACCCACCTCCCCCTCTGCCTCCCTGTCTTTTAGAACAAGGTGGTGACCGTGGATGGCGTGAAGGTGAAGCTGCAGGTGAGGCATGGACCAGGAAGGTGGGAGGATGGAGAGAGATGGCCCGTGCTCCTCACCCTGAACTGCACACGGCCTGCAGCCCAGTGCTCGGTCTGGGGTAATTTCCTGTGGGGCACAGCAGAGGAAATGGCTTTTGTTTGTGTCATATCTGCTGAGGAAGCAGTTCCCAGGCACCCCCTCTTCTACTAAAGACAACTCCAAGGGTCTTCAGACAAGCCCCGCCTCCCTCTCCCTCCTCCCGGTCTCCCAGCCCTCATGTCCCCCAGACCCCTGGGCCTGAAGGAGATTGAGAACTTAAGTAACCTCACTCTTCAGAGGGTTGTGAGAGGCCCATGAGAAGCTGGAGAAGGAAACTGTCCCACCTTCCCACACACAACTTTCACACCATGACATGTTTCCTCCGCCCAGCCCAGTCCTCCCACCCTGCTCCTCCCGCCCATTTCTCCAACCTCCTCCCTAGATCTGGGACACCGCAGGGCAGGAGCGTTTCCGCAGTGTCACCCACGCCTACTATCGAGATGCCCAGGGTGAGTTCTCTTGCTTGCAGCCCCTCATGGCTGCCCATTGGTGGCCTCCATCCTCCAAGTACCACCCTGTTCTCTCCCTCTCCTCCTTCAGCCCTTCTCCTGCTGTATGACATTACCAACAGATCGTCCTTTGACAACATCCGGGTAAGTGCTCCCTTCCCGGGCTCCCCACCCACCATGGCAGCCAAGGTAGAACCTATGCAGGTTGGTGACAAGAGGTGGAGAGTGGAAGATTGCCGCCTTCTGAGAAGACACCTGAGCAGTGACTCAGAACAACAGGTGCTGCTGCATAGTTGATTGGCATGTGGGTGGTGGCAGCTCCGTGGGCCGCCCTGCCACTTGGCCACCTGCAGAGCCCTGATAATTTAGGGCTGTGTTTCCTGTCAAGATGTTCAGAAAATCCCCAGCTCTACCCTAGACAATTATCTGCAGGGACCCAAGAGAGTGCTCAACCACCAACACCTGTATATACATTCAGCCCAAGTTACAAGAAAGTGGCTCAGGCAGACCAAGTTAATGACTGTGTCCTCAGAACCAAAGTATTAGTAGTGTATTAAAGAGTAACTCAGCAAACACAAGCGCCCACTTGTACACAGTACTGTATAAATTACACCCATTCTCTGACGTCAAGGAGCTGAGCAGCCAACTGCAAGACAAAGGCAGATAAATATAAACCAGAGGCAAAGATCTGCTTTGGATTACCATTGCCAACCCATGCAGACATCACTAATCAATCGCATAACAAACCCATAGTATGCAGGCTGCCATCTCCACGCCTACCTTCATGGCAGGCATTACTAATCAATCACAGTACTTTTGACCACTGGGCCCTTTTATAGTCTTAGACCCTTCAACAGAACAATCCAGGCGACTCCCAACTGATTTGGGAAATACCAGTCTTGTGTCACCTCTGTCTTTTATAGAACTAAGAATTACACTGTACAGGGCTTGGGGGAAAGGGGCTATTGCAGGCTAGGCAATCAATGAAAAGTTAGCTAGAGAAGGTAAGACTTGAATTGTGTATTGCAAGTAAAGATGAAAATAGAACACTTGGGCTGGAGAGACCAGAACAAAGATGCAGATGGGAGAAAGAATCCACAGAGATCATGTTCATGGGGCAGTGAGTACCCTGGATTATCAAACAGGGAGAAAGTGAAAGGGAGTGAGGAAAGAGGGCACTGGCCTGGTTCTCAGAGGGCCCTGACTCGGCGCACCCCCTCCCACAGGCCTGGCTCACGGAGATTCATGAGTACGCACAGAGTGATGTGGTGATCATGTTACTAGGTAACAAGGTGAGTGACTGCAGGGCAGGGGAGCTTACCCTGCACCTCCTACACCAATGCCAAGGCGTCAGCTCTTCCAAGGTCCATGGTCACCTAAGAGTGTGCTATCTGGACAGCCTCCAGCTACAGTCTCTTTCCAGTCAGTCTCCAGTTCAAAGGTCAGGCTCATCTGAAAACTTCCACCCAACCCACCAGTCTCTTAAAGCTTTGAAAATGGCTACTCCCAAGCAAAGCCCAACCTGTTGCCTGAGAGTTCAGGGATGCCAACTCAGCCCTGGCAGGACATCCTGAGTAGGGTTCAACTGCCTTCACCCTCTGGGACAGAGCTCCACAATATGTGTAACAGTTACCCACCTGTCCCAAGCCAGGAGCTAGGTAACTCAGCCTAAATAGTGCCAAGACCCTGACCCTCCTGCAAGTCACACCCACCTGCCCCCCCTAAAAACTCAAATGCCTCCTCTCAGTCCTGCAGGCCACCAACAGAGAGCAGGGATTATCCACTCCTGGGGCAAAAGAGGGGTCCTCTAGGGCAGGAGAGGGGTCAGTTGGGGGCAAGGCTTCCTTTCCCAGAGTGACCAATCTGTGCTTCCAGGCGGATGTGAGCAGTGAAAGGGTGATCCGTGTGGAGGATGGGGAGACACTGGCCAGGGTAAGAGGCTGCAGGGTGGGGTGAAGGGGGCAGCAGAAGTGCAGACCCTGAGAACCTGCTCTCCCCGGCAGGAGTACGGAGTTCCCTTCATGGAGACCAGCGCCAAGACAGGCATGAACGTGGAGCTGGCCTTCTTGGCCATTGCCAAGTGAGTCCCGAGTGGGAAGGGAAGCACACAAGCAGGACTGTACCATTTGGAAGCCCAGAGGGCCAGGCAGCAGGCCCCAGGGCTCTCCATATCAGTTGTCTGCTTGCATCTGGGGGGCTGTGGGAGTGAGGAAGATGAAAACCGCTCTCCTCACTCCCAGCTCTGACCAGCTTCTTCCTCTTCAAGAGAACTGAAATACCGGGCCAGGCGGCAGGCCGATGAACCCAGCTTCCAGATCCGAGACTACGTGGAGTCCCAGAAGAAACGGTCCAGCTGCTGCTCCTTCGTGTGACCAGGCTGGCCAGGGTCTCCAGAGGCCCAGACGACACGGCCATCTCCTCCAATCCAGTCAGTTTAGTGGCTGAGCCAGGGGGAGGGCTGAGGACCACAGCCCCACAGAGGGAGCAATCCTTAAACCCCTCCCCTAGTTACTGTAGCTTCCTGCCCCCAGGGAGGGTAAATTATTAATATTTCATTTAATGTGATATGAATTAATACCAAAACAGGAGTCCCAGGGCCCCCAGAAGCTGAAGACAGGGACTTGGTGGCCCTGTGGCCTTCTAGCATTAGGATACCAGGTCAGGCTGGCCTCCTGGCCATTGCTCCAGCCCAACACCAGGGGGCACTAGCGTTGTTTTACCCAGTATCCTGGGGCAGACGTGCTGGTAGGAATATGGTCACCACTTCAGCTAGAAAAGAGACTGAACTGACCCCAGTCCTCTTTTCTCCCAGCTGTCCAGGGAACAATCTTCTCCAGGAAGATAGGCCCTTGGGCTGGAAGCCAGACCAAGAACTCAAGGGAGAAAAGGGATGTGGCTGTGAGAGGGGGGCCAGCTCCTGGGAGGACAGAAATAGCAGGAGCAGAGACCAGGGGCTGCTGGCTACCTGCTAGCCTTACTAACACAGCTCCCAGAGGCATGTCTGTCTGCCAGCATACAAGCACACCGGGCACCTGGGGACATTCGGTTTCTCTTCTCTGGACCTCAGACCCCAGGGAAAGCTCCTCTGTCCTGAACCCCTCATCTTACCCAACCGAATTTCTACGCCTAGATACCTAAGAGTACAGCTAAGGAAAACAGTTTTCTTGTCCCAAACCCTTGGCGATACGCAAACTCCACAGCTTGGAAAGCAGCTGTAGTGCGTCTGCTGGGTTCTGATCCACAGAAACAGAAACCCCTGACTCCCGGACCTTTTTCTCTTCTCCCACAGACACCAGGGCCAATAATGCCTTGTGTGAAAAAAATGCAGTCATGTGGGCACACCTGGGGTGGAGATGAGGGACGGAGAGGAGTTCCTTCAGGGCCAAGGTCACACAGCTCCCAAGCCCAGGCCCAGGAGTTGGAAGGAGATGAGAAGACTCTTGACCTCAGGCAGGGCCTGGGGAAGGTGGAGGAAGAGGAAAGTGCTTCAGATTTGAGAGACCACTGCATTTGCTTTCCAGGCAGAAATCTTGCTCTCTGAGCAGTCAGCACTCCCGCTTGGCCTGATAAGGAAGCTCTTGGTGGCCTCTCCCAGGCGGAGCATAGAGGAGCATGACCTTGCCAGGCACTGAGGGCCCCAGGCAGGTGGCAGGCCATCCAACCACACGGGCTGCTCTGGGTCTCTAGCATTTGTTTTTCTGAATTAAATTACAGTATTTTGGAAAGTACACCCTGTCCACTGGTTGTGTGAGATGTGCCTGGGGGTGGGGGTGGGGAGGGAGAGTCATGCTGAAGGACTGTTTTTGCTGGAGGAACTGACACAAATCCAGTGTTCCCTGGGAGTCTCTCATGGTGAGCCCATGTGTTAGAGAGAAGCGCTCCAGAGACTTCTCAGCTGCCATCCTTAGGGAGAAGGGCCCTGGTGGCAGAGAGATTAGGTGCTTGAATGCTAACTGAAAGGTTAGCAGTTTGAATCTAGCAGCAACACCACGGGAGAAGAGATGTGACCAGCTGCTCTTGTAAAGATTACAACCCTCGGGGGCAGTTCAGCTCTGTCTATAGGGTCACTCTGGGTCAGAAAAGAATTGATGGCACAAACTATGGAAGCAGTTTGCCAGGACTTTACTCTGCAGTGCAGACTCAATCTTCTGCAATGGGCTCAAACTAGCAAATTTTGTGTTACTGTGAGAGAGCCATTCGCATCACCCAGGGACACTTACTGATGGCCACAATCCCAGATCATCATCCTTCAATTCCCCCAATTTGGTCAGCACATCTTTAAGAAGTGAGGGTGGCCAGCCCTCATCTGGCAGAGAGGAGGGAACTGGAAGGCTTATTGGACAGCCCTAATTTTTCTTCTGTTGTGAAAAACAAACAAAAAAAAATAAAACCCAAACCCTCATCGCTATTGAGTTGGAATCAACTAATAACTGACCGTTCACCAATGCTCGAGAGATTATCCATCTCCCCCAACTCCTCCACGCAGCTAGAGTCTGGTGGATTTGAACTTCCAGAGAAGTCCACATTGAGCTAACCCTGCAACTGCCTACAGACTACGCCATCAGAAGTTCCTCTGGTGAAAAAAGACCAGGTTTTTTTCTTTGATGGAGGGTGTCCCGAGGTTGGGACCTGGCTATGTGCGGCCTCTCCCACCCCCTTCCCTGGTCCATCGTGGACGCCCGCAGAGGCCTGTCGTCAGAGGGCTGCGGTGGGGTCTGGGGCTTTGCAGGGCTCAGTGCCTGGCTGGCCGGGGTGTGTGGTTTTGCAGATTTCAATGTCTTGCTGGCTAGGGTCTGGGGCTTTGCAGGGCTCCCTGCCTTGCTGGCCGGGATCAGAGTCCACACCCGCTCGCTACCAGTAGGTCCTGGAGCGTGAGAGTGACTCACTCCACCGACCGGAACATGTCGTTACTCAACTATTGGGTCAGAGCTGGTCGCCCGGTTTACTCGTAAGGCGTCGCTGCTCGGGAGCAGGAATGGTTTCCCGGGCAACAGCGGTTCATCGTGCCACTCAAAAAAAGTTAACACAGCAACTTTGGGCTAAAGAGTCCCATTGCCCCCATCCCACCCCCGACAGCTGGGGCTCCTCAATCCCCGCCGCAGGTGAAGCGAGCCTGAAAGGACTCTGCAGGCCCCTCGGCCCCGTACACGTAACTGGCCGGGTCCCCGCCCTCCCGCCCGACTTCGGCCACTTGGTAACAAACACTTCCACTTCCTGAGCCTCTTTCTTCGCCCGCCGCAGGGCGCCGCGCCAAGCGCAGACTCCGCCCCCGGCACACCCCGATTGGCCCACGGCGTTCACCCGGCCCGAGCGCCCCCCTCTCCCGAGTCCTGATTGGCCCACAGTGGCCGACACCCGCGGCGCGGCCCCGCCCCCGGGGTAAGGGGCTGGGGCCGGTTCTGGAACGCGCAGACGCCGCGCGGGGCGGGGATTGGTCCGCGCGCTTCTCCGGGCACTTTGGGCGAAGCCCTCGCCGCGGCCGGGACACCTGCTTGCTCACCGCCCGCCCCGGCACCTGGGCTCCTGCCGTGCTCTCGGCTCCGCGGAGCGGCACAAGTACCGGCCGGCCCCTCTCCGGCCTCGACGGGACCCAGCGTAGCGCCGCCGAGTCGTCACCGGGCGACATGAGCGCCGCCGCGGCGACCGGGGCGCCCCTGCCCCGGCTCTGCTGCCTGGAGAAGGGCCCGAACGGCTACGGCTTCCACCTGCACGGGGAGAAGGGCAAGGTGGGCCAGTTCATCCGGCTGGTGGAGCCCGGCTCGCCGGCCGAGAAGGCGGGGCTGCTGGCCGGGGACCGGCTGGTGGAGGTGAACGGCGAGAACGTGGAGAAGGAGACCCACCAGCAGGTAGTGAGCCGCATCCGCGCCGCGCTCAACGCCGTGCGCCTGCTGGTGGTCGACCCCGAGGCGGACCAGCAGCTGCAGAAGCTGGGGGTCCAGGTGCGCGAGGAGCTGCTGCGTGCCCAGGAGGGGCCCGGGCCGGCCGAAGCGCCCGCCGCCGCCGAGGCGCAGGGGGCCGGCGGCGAGAGCCAGCCGCCCGAGCCCGAGAAGAGCCCCGCGGAGCGGGTAAGTGCTGGGGGCCCGCGCTGGCCAGCCCCGGACGGGGACGGGGGCGGGAGGGGAGAGCCGCGCGCCTAACCCCGCGCCCGCCCTTGTCTTTCTGAAACTCGAGCCGCAGAAGCGGGGAGACGGCTTCCGCCCCGAGCACTTGCAGTTTCTGCACCGCCGTCGGGGGCAGCTTCCCAAGACCCCCCCAGGCCCTTCCCGGGACCAGGCTGGACCTCTGAGCGCCTTTATCGGCTGCACAGCTTGCCTTCCGACTTGGGGGGGGGGGTTAGGGCGCGGGAGGGAGCGCAGAGGAGCCTGCTCGGTGCCATGGAAGCCCCCCCCCCGTGAGTTGTCGGGGACCCCCCTCCGCGCCTAGCTCTGCGCGCCTCCGCGTCTCTCTCCTCGGCCACTCCGCCCCCAGCCCGCAGTTGAGAGGGGGGAGGGGCGAGGGCTCCTTTGGCCCCAAAGACGTGTCTGCTTCCCCCACCTCCAGGCGGGTGGTAACTGAAGCTGGGGTGACAGTGAGGCGCCTACCTCCAAAAGCTAGATGACTAGCAGTGTCTCTCCTGGGCGGGGAGGGGTCACTAAGAGGACGCATCCCCACCCCCACCCGCAGCCTGTTGGTGTGTGTATCATTAACTCTGCCCCTGCTGGACTTCATCCTCGCCCAGGTCCGCTGTGACTTGGAAGAAGGGAAGCAGCCCACGTCCCAGGGCGGCGTGTAGCGGGGGTGGGGTGACTCTGCCCCCCCCCCGAGGATTTATGGCCCTCAGGAATGTGAGAAGTGGGCTAACTTGTATCTGGAAAAGGAGAAAGATGACTGGAGGGGAGGGGATGGCGCCCGTTGGCCCAGGGCAAGGAAGCGATCAGGTGGGCTTGACCTGCCATGGCCTCCAGTCCTTGGACACCAAGCTGGCCGGCGGTGCTTTGGCCTTTGGCCGGGTTTGATGTTTCCCATGTTCTTCTCCTCGTTTGGATCAGCTGCAGGAGGGGGCAGCTGGCAAAACAAATTGTTGTTCCTCGTCTCCTGTCTCCAGGGAGTGAAGAGGGAGGCCTCAGGGTGCAGACTGTGGGAGCAGGGCCTGTTTCACTTACAGCAGTGCCCTTCCTGGTCGCTGGCATGTCCACAGTGCCAGCAGGAGCCTTCTGGACAGAGAAAGGACACCTTTTCGGCATCAGGTGGAAGGTGGAGCCACAGAGGGCCAACTGGTTTGGTAGAAGTGAGGTCATCAGGAGCCCTGTCCAGCCAGAACTGGGTGCTGGGAATGGCAGGGTGGCCAGGCTCCCGCTTCCCTGCCGGTGCCAGGCTGGCATTGACAAGGGGTGGGAGAGAGGCCAGAGCACCCCAGCAGACGATTGTCACCGGGTGGTAGGGACCAGTGACCCCTGGTCCAAGCAGATTCTTACTTAAGCAGAGACATTGATTTACCGTTCTTTGGACTTTGGCGCCCACACGAGTGCCCACTGCAGTCCTGCTCAGCTCTGACTTTGCCCTTTTGCTGCTGCCTGCATGGAGGCTTGACGTAACACCTATGGTCACTGTGCTATCTGAAAAGCGCCGTTCTCTCCTCTCTGGCTTCCCCCATGGCCATGTGCCACCCTGGCTCCTACAGGTGTTTGTCCTTGGCTAGGTCAGGAAAAGGGAGCAAAGCCACCTCCAGCGGGTCCTGACTTGGTGACACCACCTAGTATCCCCAAGGCTTCAAGCCAACAGCAGGCAAGTCGCAGGAGCTGAGTCTTGATTTTCCCATCTGTAAAATGGAGCTCCATGAAGTCTTTTTGTCTTAAGAGTTTACAAATAGTGCAAAGTACTGGCAGGGACCCTGGTGGCTTAGTGGATTGTTTCAGTCTGCAAACGGGAAGGTCAGCAGTTCAAATCCACCAGCTGCTTTACAGGAGAAAAGAAATGGGATAATTTGCTCTCATTAAGATCTGTAGCCTCAAACCTGGTGAAGGTCACTGTAGGTCATAATGAACTTGATGGCTCTGAGGTTTGGGTTTTTGCCAAACTGGGTGCTGAAATTAATTAATTTTGGAATAGCTCCTTCCACCTGGCCAGTCAGCACAGTTTCCTACCAGTCGATAGTTGTCATCATCTACTAACAAGTGAGCCAACTTGTTGCTGGAAAAAAGTGTTCATAAACACTGCAAGAGTTATTTTCCCTTTTCCTGAAAGGCATCCTTTTCAATATAAGGTGTGTAATTGAATTTTACCAGTTAATTTTAACCTGAATTTGTGTAGTTGGGGCTATAAGGACATCTAAGTAGCACAGTGTTGGACTGCTAGCCGTAAGGTCAGCAGTTCAAATCCACCAGCCATCCCAGGGAGGAAGGTGAAGCAATCTGCTTCTGTAACAATGTACAACCTTGGAGACGAGGGGACAGTTCTGCTGTGCCCCACAGGGTTGCAGTGTGACATTATCTTCCTTCTTGGAGATGAAAGCAGTCTAAATAGTTGAAGTGTCTGCAGGAAGTGGTGGGTGTGGGTGGCATCTCACCTAAAACATCAGCCAAGGTCAAGAACCACGCAAAGCCCAGGAGTCGGGGGTGGCCCACCATATGGGTCTCCCTCTTGGAAGTGGAGGGGTGTGCGAGCCCCGTTGATGGTCCTTCCCACTTCCACACTTCCACTCCTGCCCTGGGGACTGAACAGCCGCAACACCCTGCCCCAGAGTGCTGCCTGCTTAAAGCCTCCCCCATTCGCTACCAGTCACAGGATAAGCCTTAAAGACTCTGAGCTCGGCCCCCCCCCCCTCCCCGGGAGGCCTCAGCCAGCTCATCTATCCCAGCTGGGCCACCTTGAGCCAAGTTACTTAACCTCTCTAAGCCTCCGTTTCCTCTTGGTGAAATGCTGGGTGATACCAAGGACTCCGTGGGACCGCTGGGACCAAGTGAGGCTGTATATTGTATGTAAAGCAAATGGCTCAGCACCAGGTACTGTCTGCCCAGGAAGCTGTGACTGTGACTGTCTGAGTGATCCAGATAAGATGGCCTGTTTCACAATGACTGTTACAAAGCTGCCATGGGGCATCCAGCTCCGGACCTGGGACCTGCCTCTCGGGTTGGGCGAGAGCAGCTGTGGCCCTCGCCCGACCCGCTCAGTGATTGTTCAACCAGCAGTCACTATTGTTTAATAATCATACAGGCAGACTCCGTTCCAGACGGTGCAGGTCACGTGCCTTTTGGGGGCGTTTCCCATGGTGTATAAAGTAATGTCTACACTAGGCTGCAGTCCATGACATGTACAAAGACCAAAGGGTGATCCAGGGACACGACGTGAACACGTGCCATGGGAAATGACACCAAGAGTTGTGCTCAACACGGTGCTGCCGGAAACCTTCCGTCTGTCAAAGGGTAATGTCTGGGCAGTCACACACACAGTAAAGGGATGCGACCTTATATATGGGAGCCCTGGTGGCCTCGTCTGTAGGGAGTGGAGCTGCCAGTGCAAAAGACAGGCCTCTGGCAGTTCAAAGCCACAAACGACACAGGAGCTCTGGAGGCAGCCTGTTGTATGCCTTCAAGGCAAAACTGACCCATGGCTGACTCTCCAGCAAGTTTTCAGAGGACATTTGCTCTGCCGGTACAAAGGTACATGGTTCGAATCCACCAGCTGCTCCGCGGGAGCCCCTGTCATGCGATTCGCTGCCTCTGTTACGGGGTGTCAGGTGTGTGTTAGCTTGAAGGTACACAACAGCAACAACAGAGGGAGAAAGATGGGCTGTCTCTTCCCTTGCAGTTTACAGCCTCAGAAACCCAGTGGAGGGCAAGCTGTGGGTTGCTTCCAACTTGACAGCAGAGAGAGATCCTTGACTATCTGTCAGCTTCCTCTCACCACTGCCCCGGCTGTCCCCTCCCTCTAAACCACATCGGGGGGCCACTCTCTCGCCAGCCCCTGAGCCGTCTCAGTGAGAGCTCCCTGCCCGTTCCCCTTTGGGGCTCTCTCCCAGTCCACTCTCTTCCCAAAGAGCTGCTCCTTCACCCCAGGGAGAGTTGGGGGGGGGAGTCGGCTCTTTCCCTCCCCAACCCCTCCCGGCCTCTGTCCTTGCAGGCTTTTGAGTCTCATCAGTTCATGACCTTTAAGGCCCCAGGGCAACAGCTGGGGCTTATTTGTGTTTATAACCCCCCACGCCTTGCATGGCTCATCACCAGGGGTAGGGAGGTGCTAGATCACTTGTGGGGTTGGGTTTGTTTTTTTTAATTTTTAAATTAATGAGCATATGCAAAACAGCTGTTAGAGACCTTTGTCCTAATTGATCTCAGCACACCTGGGCCTGCTTGTCCCTCAAGCACACCCAATCGAATATTACAGATGGAAACTAGTCACAGTGTTGGCTTGTTTATGAGCCGCTTCCATTTGAAAGGAAGGCCCAGGGCTCAGCCAGACCTGGGAATCCTAGCTCTTCTGGTTCTGCGGCCTTAGGCAAGGTGGTTGTTCCCTGCAAGCCTCAGCTTCCACCTCTGTGGAATGGGAACACTAGCACCTACCTTGGAGGGTTGTTGGGGAGATTTGATTAGATGGGGCACGTGGGGTGGGTGTGCCCACGCACGCAGGTGCACGTGTATATGTGCCCGAGCTTGGCATGAGGTGGGTTGGATTCGTTTCCTTCTCACCTAGACACCGAGACCATGCACACACCCCAGATGGCAGGCTGGAGGCTGGGTGGGTACATCGACTGGCAGCCGACCAGCCTCCTCCGTCCCCAGGGAGGGCCATTTCTCAGTGACTAAACAGCAGTTTAGGGATCTAAGTGGTCTAGACCGCAGGGAGTTAGGCTGCTACCCAAAGACCACGCCTCTCTGGTGGTTCGAATCTATCAGTAGCTTCTCTGGAAAAACAGGTGATCTCCTCTGTGCACTTTCAGCTCCAGAAGCCCAGTGGCGTCAGCCGTGAGAGCATCAGAGCTAGAGCTTTGGAAGAGGCTGCACCAGCCTCGATTTGAAATGATATGCTCCTGCTTTGTGAGAATCTGGGAATCTTTGCTTCTTGGGCAGAATCGAGTTGCCCCTTGTTCTCA